CGGACGCCGCGGAGCCGGCGGGGGGCGGCCGCAGGCCGTCGCTGCAGCGCTCTAAGTCGGACCTGAGCGACAGGTACTTCCGGGTGGACGCGGACGTGGAGCGCTTCTTCAACTACTGCGGCCTGGACCCCGAGGAGCTGGAGAACCTGGGCATGGAGAACTTCGCCAGGGCCAACTCCGACATCATCTCGCTCAACTTCCGCAGCGCCAGCATGATCAGCTCGGACTGCGAGCAGTCGCAGGACAGCAACAGCGACCTGAGGAACGACGACAGTGCCAACGACCGCGTGCCCTACGGCATCTCCGCCATCGAAAGGAACGCCAGGATCATCAAGTGGCTGTACAGCATCAAGCAGGCCAGGGAGTCGCAGAAGGTGTCGCACGTGTGAGCGGCGGCTTGTGCTGCCCGCGGTGCGCGCTCCGAGTCGCGTGCCCGGCCTGGCCGCCTGGAGCCCGCCGGCCGCCCGGCCCTGGGTCGGCGGACCCCGAGGGGCCTCGCGCCTAGCAGCTGTCCGCGGAAGGGGGTGCGCGGTTTCCTCGAAGTTTATGTGGTTCTTGTGTTTTTGTATCCCACGCTGTCCTGTCTTAATTAAAAGCTTTGTCAGCTGGCCTTTACAGTGAGAGCAGAATCTTGAAATAAAACCACTTTGCCTACTGGTGAGACCCTGACGATGGGGGAGGTTTTCAGAGACTGGCACCAGACAGTAACCGACCGCGTGTGGGCCCAGTCTGGGTTCTTTGTGGAAAAAAAGGGTGAGCCCAGTACGAGTTGTTCTGTACATGTTGGAATTTGTCCTGACTCCACTGGGGCAGCCGTGCCACGTTTCGTGTCCACTAAGCAGTCAGTGGTTCTGTGTAACGCTGAGCCCGAGGAAAGACAATCAGATACAACAGAGGATAATTAAATCTGGGAGTTGAAGTGTTCGGGGGTTGTGGTGGTGTTCAGATTAGGATAATTCAGAAATTCCTGTTAGATATTTATGTTTGGGCGAAGGTGAACACCCAAAAGCTGAAACCAAGTAACTTTCTTTTTCTTAAAAGGTGTGTCATGGTTTTTTATTTTTGTCCCTCTAGTTTTATTGTTTTGGTTTTGGTCAAGAACTACTAATTTCTGCTGTTTGTCTTCCTCTGTTGTGGTTTTATGTGGGAGAGGCAGCGGGGCTTGCCCAGGTTTCAGCGATGTAAGACGTGAACACAAATACTAGCCATAACAGCCTAGAGCCAGCTGCGCCCAGGGAATGCCCTGCCAGCGGGTCACGCGGGCAGCGTGGTGGCCCTGCCTGTGTTCTTCCCTTGAGCGGTGACTCTGTTACACCTCTGGGAAACCACGGAGCACCACCCTCGAGCTCTTGCCCCCAGCGCTCCAGCGCTGCGCACCACCCGTCTTCTTTTTTCCCAGGAGCTCGACCTTCAGGTGGTTTCCGAGCCGTGCAGCAGGCAGCAGAGAAGTTCCCGCGCAGTGGTCTGCCTCCTTGAGCTTGTTCTCTGTAGCACCACCTTGGACTTTGTCAACTACTAGGAAACTTTTTATGGTGTAAATGCTGTAAGACTTTGTACATACTTCGGTTGTTATTAAATCTTTAAGAAAAAAGAAATAATTATGCTAATAAATAGCTCTGAAGCAGGCACCAGCAGTGGCGGTTTCTTTGTTCTTTGTCACTATCCATGGAAGTTTGACCCAGGACTGGGCAAGACACACACTCTTACAAAAACATGAAGTTGCTTTTCATTGTGTCTGTTATTCGGAGCAGCAATATTCTCTGGTAGCTGCAGCAAGTGCTTTTGCTGAAATAGTTGGTTTTTTTGTTTTTTTTTTTCGTGGAACCAGGGATTGAACTGAGGCCCTTGCGCTTGCCAGGGAAGCACTTATTCCACTGAGCCATCTCCCCAGCCCTAGTGGGGGTTTTGACACACTGCTGCATCTGCTTAGGTCACACTCTGATTTTTGTTTTTCACTCAACATCAGGATTTTTCACAGCTTCCAAAGCCACTTGAGTTGCACGTATTTATGTGAGCTAACCGCGGAGGCCATCTCTGAATGGCCAGCCCTGTTGCCATTTGTGCCAGCAAGCACGAGAACCACCGCGTGTCCACTCTCTGTCCACCCCAGGCATTCCTCTTGCACTGCAGCCTCGTCGGGGTCCCAGTTAACAGCGGGCTGCCGTGGTGAGCGACATAGTCTCTGCCTCAAGAGCTTCAACGCGCACCACTGTTCATAGTAGACGCCTCTGTCATGTTGGGAGTTGAGTACTCCAGGAGGATTTGCTAAGTTACTTGAACATCTCTTCTACAATTCCATAAAATATTTAAATGTAAAAGTGTCATTTAAATGTTGTTTTTAGAAACGGTGATTCCCAGACTACTGTTGATGAAACATTTTTCTTCTGCAAGAAAATTTGGAACATGACTTTTTCTACTGATTTTTAAATTGCCCTTGTTCTCTATTAACGTTCAAACTAGAATGCCGGTTTCAAAACAGCTGGTTTTTTAGGATGTGGCTGTGTATGGTGATAAGAAGGCAGTATGGTGATGAGAACGCAATGAAAACAAGTTGCCTCAAAATCCAAACGTGAATAATCAAAATTTAAGTTTCCTCCCTCACCATTTACGTAGAAAAATGGCCTTTAAAACATACAAGACTTAGCATTTACAGTATCTGTCTCTTTCTGGAACTGTTGAAATACTGAAAGTGGAGGTTTTATTCCTAAGGAAATCATTTTCAGCGGGGTGGACACGTCTTAGCTGACTGAAAATCACTGCTTGTGCCATTTTAGACATAGGCTGAATGTTACAGTATGTCAGTATTTTCTGTTACCTATATTAAGACAGGATTGTAAATCATCCTGCTTTAATTCTGTTTAATCCGCTGTGGCTTCATTTGTACAATGGAGACCATGAGGCTTCTGGTTCTTGTGGAATGTGAAAGCTCTTTTTTGTTTGGGTCATGAATTAAAGTTTCTAGAAAGCACTATTTCAAATGTTTAATATTAAATCTAACAGGGGACCTTTCTTAATTGTGAATTAGTCTCTGCAAAGCGCATGTTCTTGAGCTCATGGAGATACGTGTGCTCACCTGTGTACGAGGTGGTGGTGGTCATGTGGACATAGTGTTCTTGTGCAGTTCACACTTCTCTCACAACCTGAAGGTTGTCATGATTGTGCTGGATTGCTGAGGAAGGCACCTGCTTCTTCTGAAAGCCGCCAGGCCTGCAGAGCATTCTCCCGTATCCACCCCCTCACTGCTGTAGTCCAGCCTCTAGTGGACCCTGCCCTGGACTTCCATTTCTAGACTAAGTAGAAGTACCCACATTCCTTCCAGCCAGTCTCTCGCATGCCACAGATAATGTCGTAATTCTGACCATGTCTGATCCCTGCGAGACTTGCAGGTTGTGCTCAGATGAAGCCTCGCTCCACAGAGCAGTGGGTGCGGGTATCTCCCACTCACACCTGTCACCTGGCAAGAGAAGCTTCTGTCAGGAAGCTTAGCCTGCTTATGGTTTATTTACCCTGTTCAACAAATTTCCTCCCAAAACTTAGCAATTTAAAACAACAGACATTGATTACCTCAGTGTCTGTGGGTCAGGGATGCTGGAGGGGCTCAGCTGAGTAGTTCTCACTGCAGTATCTCCTGAGGCTTCCAGCAAGATGGTGGGCATAGACTACTTGGGCAGAGGGCGGTTTCCAGAGTGGCTTGGTGTCTCACAGCCTTTGCCTCTCTTCTGAGGGCCCTCTCAACATGTCACCTGGCTTCTCCCGGAGGGCACAGCCAAGGACAAAGCCACAGTGCCTTTTTTAGTCCAGTGTGCTGAGTCACACACCTCTGTCACATTCAGTCCATTAAAAATGGGTTGCTATGTGGGATTTACAGGGTAGAGAGACCCCATATTTTAAAGACAATAAAATTTTAAAACAAGGTCATAGGAGGGTAACAATGTTCAGCACATTGCATAATGTTATCTTTAAATTATTCAAAATACAAGATATCAACATTTAATTGTCCAAACAATATTAGTACAGTTTTCTTTTCAGTGCACTGGGAGGAATTAATAGTATAACTGTCCTAACTATCATCACTCTCTCTCCATTCCCCCATGCAGGTTTCTTTCCCTTTTTAAGTTCTTCCCATTTTACAGTATGTTTTACATTTTGGATCTTACTCTCAGCTTCTCACCCTAGGGAGACAGTACAATGTTTACACGTGTGCCTGGGTTGTTGGACTTATGAGTGTAGTCTCAGGTTGTATTCATTTACCTATAGAAGCCTCCAGTTTATCATTCTTTATGGCTGAGTAGTACCACTGTGTACAAATACCACACCTTTTTAATCCAGTCCTTGCTTGACGAGCATTTGGATTGTTCCAAGACCCAGTTGTTACACATGGTAAGCCTGAGTGCTCATGCATCACAGTGGAACGACGTGTTTGCATAGCTGGGTTAAACAGGCCCTCTAATCCTAGCTTTTGAGAAGTCTCCACACTGATTTCCACAGTGGTCACACCAACCTGCAGTCCCGCCAGCAGTGGTGAGGGGTCCCTGTCCCACAGCCCACCCCAGCACTTGGTATTAGTTGACTTTTTCATGACGGCCATTCCTCTGGGGTGAGGTGGAATCTCAGGGTTGTTTTAACTTACATCTCTCAAATAACCAGTGATGTTGAACTTCTTGTCATATATTTATGTGCCATTTGTGTTTCTTCATCTGTGAAGTGTGTATTCATCTCAGATGCCCATTTTTAGATTAGGTCTTTAAATTTGGGAGTTCTCTTTTTTATATATATTCTACATAGTATATTCTTTATATATTCTACATAGTAATTCTTTGTCTGCAGAACAAACTGCTGGCAAACATTTTTGAGACCCCATGTTTTAAAGGGAGATAGACACACCTACGAACTTGTGGACATTTTAAAACCACTGCTGTGGCTCGGATTGAGTAGCTCATCATTCTGTGAGAGATATTTGGTGCACCTTCCCCGACTTCAAAAACATTTGCTCTTTCAAGACCATCCACAGCTGTCCACCAGTGACATGTTTTTGAGTTTCTGTGTTGCTTTGTCCTAGCCTCTTGTAATTTTGTCATGGCTGTGGGCCCAGCCTTTGCTAGCCTAAATGTTGTCTTTGTGTGAATTTTTACAAAGGGAACCTTCCCCAAAACATTTTACTTTCTTTGAGAAAAAAAGCAAAACAAAAACTGTCCTTAAAACCACGCATATCTCCCAGTGCCTCCGATAAGAAGCACAGCGTCAGGTAGGGTCCCTCACGGTGGAGTAGCCGGGGCGCAGTGGCTGCGAAACAGGCTCAGGGTGCAAGCAGTGTTGTTCATCTTCGGGTTAAATATCTCTCATCTGAAATACTTGGGACTGGAAATGTTCCAGATGTCAGAGGTTTTTCTTTTTCTTTTCTTTTTTCTTTTTCTTTTTTTTTTTTTTTTGGTACCAGGGACTGAACCCTGGACTTTGCA